GCGCCGTACGCTCATACATTCTAGCATTCTCATTGCCTCACACTTTCATCCACTTTGTTTGCTCATACATACACTCAACCACTCCAAATATTTACATCTTCTATTCATTGTGAGATTGTTTAACGGCTTTATATGCAGCCAAGTGTCAGTCAAATACAATCCAAAACATTTTCCACTAGCTGTATTTCAGTGTTTTTGGGTCTGAGAAGGTGCCTAGTCTATTGGGTTACACCTTGTCCCAAACCCTTTAGAATAATGTAATAAGAAGGGAATTAGTTCTTATGTGCATTTGACAAAGCAACATTACAATCCTGTAATTACCTTTCCACACAGAGATGGTAGGAACTCACTGCCTGCTCTGCGATCAAACCCCTCGTGTGGCCACAGCTTTCCATTGCCGACTGCACCACAACCTGTTGGTCCAACGTCGCAGTCTGCAGGAGCTCCAGCCCTTTAACACTGTAAGTGGAAAACAATCCTTTCCAAACTAGAAACAATTTACTCATTTCAATAACCATGACATAGCAGCCCCAGAGCTGTGAAAGTAAATGTGACCTATAAAAGAAGCTTTTATTTCTCTGAAGTAGCACTAACTTCTAGATGTATTCATGGTTTTGTATTCTATTTAGCAGCGATGTTAGCTTTGGCTGATGGTGAAACAGACTGGCAAGCAGTGTAGAAGGGTTGGCAATGGAAGACAGTGGCAATGGCATAATAATTCCATTTCTGTGTTTTCCACAGCCCTCAAACACAGAGCAGTTCCATCAGAGAGGACAAGGCTTTAACATCAGCAGTGGCCGGTACATAGCTCCAGTGTCTGGGTTCTATCAGCTCACAGCAAGTCTGCTACTGGGTATGTGGTTCAAGTATGTTTTGGGGTGTGCTCCTTCCCCCAACATTCAGACTAGTTATAAACCAATATGGTTTTTGATTGGTTGATTCTTAACCTGAAAGTATGGTTACAGACACAGCCTAACCCTGCATCCCAATGTTCATACTATCCATCCTAAATAGTATGTGAGATTAAAATAAGTGCGTCCCAAAGCATAGTATGTTGAAAAGAGTATACCAGAAGGATGGTCTACTATTTCAGGTAGATTTTTGAAGTGTGTGGATCCATGCACACTCTAATGGCTAATATTACCCACAATCCATTGCACTTCGGCGAAGGATTCGGTTCAGAACTACAAACATGAATAAAAAATAAAAAATGCCAAAAACTACAGATGTGCGTGACCGACGGTTAAGTAGAGAGGTTTAGATAAAGGGGTTTGAGTTACTAATAATCAACTTTTAACCTGGTGAAATGATGTTATCTGTGTTGTAGAGGATGTTAACTGTGACAAGATGACTGACAGGTCAGTTTACGGTGACAGGGTGCGTGTAACTATGCCACAGAGCGGACCATTAAGCAATTGTATGACGTGAAAGTATGTCCAAAGCTTGCCTCTACTCTTCTACTACACACTCAAAAGTGTGTACTTATTCTTCACCAAAAGAGTACATACTTTAAGGGCATAGTATAAGTAGGCACATTGGGACCGATTAGGACGCAGCCAGACCACTGATTCATCAAACCTGCGTTCTTGCAGTCACGTGCTTCGGGGAAATGTAAAAGTATACATTTTAATTAGGTAACTGTGACAAGATGACTGACAGGTCAGTTTACGGTGACAGGGTGCGTGTACTATATGCCACAGAGCGGACCATTAAGCAATTGTATGACGTAAAAGTATGTCCAAAGCTTGCCTCTACTCTTCTACTACACACTCAAAAGTGTGTACTTATTCTTCACCAAAAGAGTACATACTTTAAGGGCATAGTATAAGTAGGCACATTGGGACCGATTAGGACGCAGCCAGACCACTGATTCATCAAACCTGCGTTCTTGCAGTCACGTGCTTCGGGGAAATGTAAAAGTATACATTTTAATTAGGAAATGTAGTGGAGTAAAAGTGAAAGTTGACAGAAAACTACAGTAAACTACAGATTCTTCCCAAAAAACTTAAATACTGTTACATTACAGCACTGGAGTCATCCAAGTTCGCCCTCTGTCAGTTGCAGTTCCATCATTGGACGCACGGTGTCAGTGCGCCGCAGGTTTTAATAAGGCCTTCGATCAGCTGGGTGGCGCTTCATACTCTAGTATTTGTGAACCGACTGCGGCGTCAACATTTGAGCTAATTCAGGTGTGTTTGTTTTTCCCAACCTTGGCGTCTCAGTATTTGCTTGTCCTTTATAAATATTATCTAAAGATAACAGACACACCACATGAAACTGAAGGTGGCCGTTATTTTCATCCTGAAAGTGGCACAGACGTTTTACGTCTGTCAGTTTGTGTAAAGTTTATGTTTGATTCGCCATTAGTCGGATTTTGACAGGTTGGTTTGCTTTTTTACTTGTATGGTTTTTGATAGTTTTGGTTGTGTATATATATATGTATATATATATGAAATGAGACTTTGAGAGTATTTTAAAATAAAGGTGTGAGTTTTTGCACTTCTGCTTATTTTTTTCACGTCATCCATATAATGTTAATTAAGCAAATAATGCAGTGACCGTTTAAACATGTAATGGGCTTTTATATTGTATAGCATGTTATCTGTTTTCTATAATTTCATTAACAGGCACAATGCGATTGTGTAAAGCATATAAACTGTATCTAAACTATATATTAATTATACTATGCGATATAGTAAAAAAATAATAATAATTTTTTTTTTTAATATATATATATAATAAATTATATATATATATATATATATATATATATATATATATATGTAAATATTTTCAATATATATACTGCATGTGTGTGTATTTGTATGTACATAATAAATATACAGAGTACACACACATATATTATGTAAACAAAAACCTTTATTTTGGATGCGATCAATCGTTAGACAGCACTAATAGATATATATATATATACTTATATATACATACTTTTTTCTCCAGTTTACTCATTTGAATGAATATAGTCAGATAATTGCAATAGTTGTTTTTTTTATGATTTGCAAATGCGATAAATTCATGTATTAATTACCATGTTTATAGTGAGTGTTGTGACCCTACTGAACCTGACCTAAACTGGGTTTGTTTGGTTTCGTCAACCGTAAACCTACTCTGAAACTCAGAGTTTGCTCAACTAGCTTTGTTTAACAGGCCACTGTTTTACTGTTTAGAAAACATTTTGACTGACTGGAAACACTGCCGTTCAAAAGTTTGGGATCAGTAAGATTTGTAATGTTTTTAATTTTTCTATTTTAAATAAATGCTGTTCTTTTTAACTATTCATCAAATAATCCTGAAAAAAGTATCACAGTTTCCAAAAAAATATTAAGCAGCACAACCGTTTCCAACATTGATAATAAATAATCATATTAGAATGATTTCTGAAGGATCATGTGACACTGAAGACTTGAGTAATGATGATGAAAGATCAGCTTTACAGCACAGAAATAAATTATATTTTAAAGTAGAATAGAAAACCATTATTTTAAATATTAATGATATTTTACAATATTACCGTTTTTCTGTTTTTTTTTTTGGTCAAATAAATGCAGCATGATGAACAGAAGAGACTTCTTTAAAACTCATTAAAATCTTACCGATCCCAAACTTTTGAACAGCAGTGTATAGCAGTTTTTTTTTTTTTTTTGAGATCATATTACCTGCCAAAAACTTTTCACTCCGTCTTAGACTTTAAAAAAATTAAACCTAATTTCTGCACAGAAATAAATTATATTTTAAAGTAGAATAGAAAACCATTATTTTAAATATTAATGATATTTTACAATATTACCGTTTTTCTGTTTTTTTTTGGTCAAATAAATGCAGCATGATGAACAGAAGAGACTTCTTTAAAACTCATTAAAATCTTACCGATCCCAAACTTTTGAACAGCAGTGTATAACAGTTTTTTTTTCTTTTTGAGATCATATTACCTGCCAAAAACTATTCACTCCGTCTTAGACTTTAAACAAATTAACTCATATCTCTCCTGTAGATCGAGGCTTTCCCTCTTTGTTCGCTCCAACATGGATGTCGGAGTGACCCTGAGACGGCACAACCCAGTGGACAGCATCTGCCGCAAGCTGCAGACCATCCAGCGGCGAGATCAAGAGGTTAACTCGCCCTTTCAGATCCCAAAATTCCAGTCCAGCAGCTACGACAGCCCTCACTCGGGTCTACACGTCAACCTGGAGGCCATCCTGAAGAAGCGTACCGTCCGAACTGACGGAGGCTCTGACCGCAATTCCTCTGAGAGCTTGTTGACCCCCACAGCTTCCCCGGGACCGGGGTCTGTCCCCAACACCCCTCGTACTCCAATCACACCTGGCAATGCTACCTATACCATCACCAGCATGCTAGGCACGTTAGGGGAGAGGAGAAATACAACAACGTACAGTCGGCCGTTTCGGCATAACTGCTCCACCCCAGCAGCCCAGACTGGGGACAATTACTTTAACTTTACCCCACGCTACTCCACACAAAACCTGCTGGAGGGGCCTGACACAGAGGTGAAGACCTCAAAGATCCCAGCTCCTGGCTTGTTTTCGTATAACCTGAACTTCTCCTCAGATATTTCTAACATGGACACTGAACTCGCCTACCCGGCCCTCGTGGTCAAGAGACTTTCACTGGGCGAGGGTAATGAATCACCTTTTTAGTTCTCTTTTTTTAACATTATAAATGTTTTGTTAATACTAGTGACTATGTTTTTGTTTTTCTTGTGTTTTGAACAGGATCTCTGTTTCCCTCCGAGCCCAAGAAGGAGAGCATGGCTGAGGTCAGTCTGATTTGTGAGGAAGACCTGTTGGACACTATTTTTCAGGCCTGTGACACACAGTGCAGAGGTACATATGTCACTCCCTCTTTGCTTTTATGTTGTTTATTTTTCAGTCATATTGTGCATTTTAACAAACGTCTAACCCTACATGTAAACTTGCTTATATCTTGGTTATCACTCTGTACCATTTGTGCTATAGATATGAATAAAAGTGTGGTTACATTTATTATTAGGTTAACTTCACAGCGAAATCGAGTCATTTCAACAGGAATTTGCGTGATCTTGAATTTCGAGGATGAGAGATTTTCCTATGCAGATTTTGCACTGGGTTCAAGTTGGTCACACAAATATGAAGCAGAAAAAGCTGCTTGGTGTGTTATTGACTTCTGTGTGAGCTTTGCTTTATACATTGCTACGCTATTGACAAAAGACAGTGGAAAAATGTGATGAACACCTGCCGGATGGAAAAGACGGCCTCATGCACATCTAAGGACCAGAATATTGTAGAGATTGGTGATGGGGTCTTTTGGAAAGTTCTTTTGGGGAAAAACTTTTTTTTTTTTTTTTAAAGATAATAGCTAAGCTTATTCTTAAAATGTTTTCTGGTGTTTCTCAGCAAATTTAATTTACATATTAAGTGAAATCAATAAAAATGTAAAATCATTTTTGATTTTTTTAAATTAAATTAAGGTTTATGAAGACAGGCCATTTTTTCTTTATAGAATAACACATTCTAATATAGCATTGTTAGTCACATTTACCTTTGTTCTGCAAATTTTTATGGGCAAAATCTGGTCATTTCAATTGGAATCCACACAATACGTGAGGACTAAGGATTTACTTATGCAGATTTTGCAACCGTTTCAAGTTGACCAAAGTAGGTCATGCTGAGTTGACCAACAGAAAGCTTGGTTTGAAAGTGCCTTCAATGTGAGCTGTGTTTCATATATTGCTATACTATTGACAATGGATCTTTTCAGCCCATGAAGTTTCACTAATGTGACATTTGTGCAATTTTCCAAAGCAATTGGTTTTTGATACCTTGTAGATTTGAACTGCTCCTTTCCCCCTCAGATTCACAGGTGTTATTCCTCAGGAGGTTGGGAAGCGGACTAATATTACAATACTTGTGTTTTTGTTTGGTTTCACTAAAGTAACCTCTAAGAGCATCTCAACACATTGACTCATTCAGACCAGCAGCAGAGATGCTTCACCGCATTCAAACCTAGAGGCTAACAGGAGACAAAAGCTGCTTTCATTTACAGCCATTCTTCTTATATAAAGGCAACGGCAATTTAGAAGAATGCAAAAAAAAAATTTTTTCCAAGCATGTTAAAAGCGATGAGAGACACAGACACATGGTCATGGTGACTCAGAGCAAGTAGGTGTTACTTTGCAAACTTTCTTTATTAAATTAAGGTTTATGAAGACAGGCCATTTTTTCTTTATAGAATAACACATTCTAATATAGCATTGTTAGTCACATTTACCTTTGTTCTGCAAATTTTTATGGGCAAAATCTGGTCATTTCAATTGGAATCCACACAATACGTGAGGACTAAGGATTTACTTATGCAGATTTTGCAACCGTTTCAAGTTGACCAAAGTAGGTCATGCTGAGTTGACCAACAGAAAGCTTGGTTTGAAAGTGCCTTCAATGTGAGCTGTGTTTCATATATTGCTATACTATTGACAATGGATCTTTTCAGCCCATGAAGTTTCACTAATGTGACATTTGTGCAATTTTCCAAAGCAATTGGTTTTTGATACCTTGTAGATTTGAACTGCTCCTTTCCCCCTCAGATTCACAGGTGTTATTCCTCAGGAGGTTGGGAAGCGGACTAATATTACAATACTTGTGTTTTTGTTTGGTTTCACTAAAGTAACCTCTAAGAGCATCTGAACACATTGACTCATTCAGACCAGCAGCAGAGATGCTTCACCGCATTCAAACCTAGAGGCTAACAGGAGACAAAAGCTGCTTTCATTTACAGCCATTCTTCTTATATAAAGGCAACGGCAATTTAGAAGAATGCAAAAAATTTTTATTTTTTTCCAAGCATGTTAAAAGAGATGAGAGACACAGACACATGGTCATGGTGACTCAGAGCAAGTAGGTGTTACTTTGCAAACTTTCTGATAGAGTTTCTAGGTGGGATGGCATCTGACAAGACCCAGGTGCTCTGTGACTGTAGCCACTGTAACCATAGTAACGCAGAGCCCTCTGTTGCAGGTAAAGTTTATGTATCACACATTGTGGACTTCTTGAGACACACCACTTGCCGCAGTTCAGAGGACAGCGGCCTAGAGGAGCTCTGCAATATGCTGGACCCAGAGCACAAGGACATCTCCATAGACCTGGACACGTACCATGCCATCATGAAGGAGTGGATCGATGATTGCCACAACCAGGCGTATGAAGACATGCATATACAGTACATACCCTATGCTTTACAACAGTGATTGCCATTGATTTACTTTAATAAAGGCCTTTTTAGTTTGGGAAATATTGCACAGGACAAAAAAAACTGAAGACATCTGCTGGTTGTTTAACTCCTGATCATTTTGCTAAAGGCTATGGTCAGTTAATAGGAAGCAGTTATTTTTGCAATCAATTCTGTACTGTATGTCTTTTGTAGATGTTGCCAACCCAACCAAAGACACATTGCAGATTTTCATCAGTCTGCTATCAATCCACAATCAGTTTTGATCACAAGGCCTTTCTTTCCAACACTTCCCTCATGATTACAGACAAAAGACGCTCCGTGTCTTAACCTTTAATTATAACGCAGAACACCTGTATCACATGTGCACCAGCCTAACTATCTCGTCTCTCTCTACCGGGTCTTTTACTCCCTGCATTAACACTATAACTACATAAACAGCACTTTCACAATGATTATGAAGTCTGTGCGCTACACTACATTCTTTATTATTAAACGAAGTAATTAGAACAACGACAGTCTACATTATTCAACACATTCTTAGGAAATAGTGGGTTCACAGCGAATTATCAGAACTATTTCAGTAAAACAGTAATATCGTGCTTTACCTGGAAACCTAAAGCTGCACTAGGTATATATCACATATTAGCACAAAAAAAAACTAGATATTTTGAGCACTCAGTTGAAAATGTACACATAACGTATCAATCGTACTTACAGGTTGTGGTTCGGAGATGCTTGTTGGTCCAAATAAAGAAGATTAGAAGCCAATGAAGATAAAAGGCAAGATTAGAGAAGCAGTCCTCGGTAAAATGACAAGCACAACAAAAGGTTCGAATTGTATTGCTGTGGTATCGTGGAACACAGCATCTTCTCGACACAATGAGTGTTCGTATTTCATGGGCAGGTGGGGATTATGCTAATGTGTTACCCAGTGACGTAGATCGGTAACAGGCAGAAGATACGAAAATATAACGACTCGTTAAGGCGATTCTGAGTCGACTCTTTCTTTTGAGAGACAATATCTTTATCATGCACTCTTTTGATTAACAACTTTGCAGACTGTTTACATTGAAGGATAGCTACCTTACAAACTGCAAAAGAGAGATTTTTCGAAAACCCATATGAGCTGCTCTTTAACTTTTATAAAGAATATCTCTTTGGGTTTGAGACTTTAGTCTTTGCAACTTTAGGGATCTTATCTATTCACGAACAGCTTGTAACACTCCAAAGAGAAAGGAAAACTTGAAATCGCATCATATGACCCCTTTAAGTAGTTCCAGGGTGACCACATTTTATTTAGATATCATATGGCCATGTCTGCCCAATTTGTTAAAGTTTCACATAAACAGATCTTCAAAGAGCCATACAGCCTACTACAAATGAACTCAACAGGCCAGTATCTATGATTTCACAGAAGGATAATCAATTTTGTATTTTTATACCAGTATATTTTTATATTTTCTAGAGATATTTATAATTTTCATAGAACATTACTAATTTGTTTGTAGCTAATGCTTCCAAGACTACCAAGATATTTTTGCACTCTGCTGACCAGCTAGATGACTATTTGTGTGTCAAATAAGCAAAATTTGCAATAGCAATTTAAAATCCAACACAGAAAACCAAATGTTTAAGTTTACAAGGCATACAAATGGATGTAGTTAACTTGGTTAGTGAAATTGGTATATTAGAATGATTTCTGAATGGTAATGTTTTTTTCTAAAACATTAAAAAATTCTAGTGACCCCCAAACTTTTGCACAGTAGTCTATATATATGATTTCATTGGAAACTCAGAAATGTGGTGACTGTCCATGAGAAAATACCATAGAAGTGTATAATAATGTGACAAATCATGTATTTGGTTGAGAGGCAGAGCAGACACAGTGTTACTCACTCAGAATGCTTAATCAGTGGTGTAAGAAAGTAGTTCTCCATGCAAATGTTTTAGGGACTAAAACCTAAAAAAATATTGTAGATAAGCAAGTGTACATGTGATAACCATGGAATAAGTAAAATAATTTACTCCAGAGTGTTGAATTATTGTCCATGTGTTAATTTGGGATTACGGAGTTAATTTTGGATCCATGTTGTGCTTGCTTCAGCTGTTGAGAGCAGACAAGAACAAACTGGAGAGTCAAATGCAGATGATGCAACCTGATATGACAATGTAAGAGCTCTGTAATGCATTTAACACATAGCAATGAAAATATTAGCTGATTAATTGATCTTATTAATGGCAAGCATAATACTTGCACAAACATCAGAAATTGCTTCACATGTTCTTCTAACTGTGTATGTATGTGTTTGCAGCCCAGGTCTCTCTCTTTCTGTGGCCTACAGACTAAATCAGATGAGTTCAGGCTCTCTTCAGACAGAGTTGGCACTGGCACAGAATCCCCTGGAGGTTTGCAGTGTGTTTTGCGTTTGCAATTCCCGTGTATGTCTTTGTCCCGTCCATGATTTGGAGTGTCTCTTTCTCTCCACTCCCACCAGCACTTATGTGCTGTTTTCTGTCCGCCCACTCTCTCCCACTTCACTGCCATAGAGTGCACTCAGTAATCCACACCCTCTCTGTGCTTTATACCAAACTTTAGGCATTACAATGAGTCTGACTACGTGTTTTATTTCACAATTAATTTTTTTTATTTTTTTTGCTGTTGGTGTTCCCATTATTGTAGCTGGTGATAACTACATACTAAAAAACAATATTGTTTATACTCACTGGCCACTTTATTAGGTATACCTTGCCAGTACTGGGTTAGACCATCTTTTGCCTAAACTGCCTTAATTCTTCATGGCATAGATTCAACAAGGTGCTAGAAACATTCCTCAGAGATTTTGGTCCATATAGTCATCACAAGATAGGTACACTGTGGTCATAAAGCGATGGACATGGGTGTGGTCAGCAACAATACTCAGGCAGGCTGTGGCGTTTAAACAATGCTCAATTGGTACTGAAGGGCACAAATTGTGCCAAGAATATATCTCCCACACATTACACCACCAGCAACCTGAACTGTTGATACATAGCAGGATGGATCCATGCTTTCATATTGTTTATGCCAAATTCTGACCTTACCATCTGAATGTCAGAAATCGAGACTCATCCAATCTATCTATAGTCTTAATTTTGGTGAGCTTGTGCAAATTGTAGCCTCAGTTTTCAGATCTTTGCTGACTGGAGTGGCACCCAGTGCAGTCTTCTGCCGCTACAGCCAATCTGCTTCAAGGTTCGACATGTTGTGCTTCCAGAGATGATCTTCTGCATACCTTGGTTGTAACAAGTGGTTGTTTGAGTTACTGTTGCATATCTACCAACTCTAACCAGTCTTTCCATTTTCCTCTAACCTCTGAACCTCTGGCGACATTTTCGCCCACAGAACTGCTGCTCACTGGATATTTTCTCTTTTTCTGACCATTCTCTGTAAACCCTTAAACCCTAAGATATTTATTTATTTATTCAATTAATAAGTATAAATAAATACAAAATATAAAAAT